CATTTGCATAACATTGAGTCGCATTCTAAGTTGTACAATTGAGTTGTTGTTTTGATGAATTAATTGTTGCGTTTTGATGATATCCTGTTGGAATTATTGTTGTGAAGTGGTGATTTTTGCATGGCCTGGTTCTAATATATGATTTATCATGCGCTCACTTATACGATTTGAGAATCTCACCCCTTACTGTTTGAATGTTGTCGTCTGTTGGTAACGTGCAGGTATTAAAGAATGAAGATTTGTGTAGCCTTATTAGTTCAAAGTCGGTTGGTCGCTCTGATACGTAGCACTCGGGGGGAAATGAACAAATAGTTATTTACTTGTTGGAATTATTTTAGTTGAATGAAACATATGATGCTACTTGAAGTTGTAATTATGATTCTGCTGCGTTATTAATAAAAGAAGTGGTTTTGTTTTAAAAGTTGATGCAAGTTGTTATATGATCCTCCGAAACTAAAGTGTTATGTATATGTTTATGTGTTGCAACATGTTGAACTGTGATATCCCAAATGTGTTGGAAATTTTTAAATACTCTGATTTTTTGTTATAACTACTGGGTAGAATTTGGGGTGTTACAACCACCCCTTGATCAAATGATGGATATTACTTCAAAATATTAATGTTGATCAAAAATCTTGAAGTTTGACTGTATTTGGGCCACAGTTGACTTTTGACCTAGTATAGTTGATTTCTAGGCATTTGAGCAGTTGATTGAGCAAACTTGTTGTTCAAGGTATGAAATTTGGCATGGATTATCTTGAGCATATATTAGGAAAATGGAGAACATTTTGGACCCTTGGTACTCACACATCTTACTTAAAATTGAAACCCTAGTTTGAGGTTTATTGCCTTAGGAGGAGAATTTGCCTAGTCAATTCTTAGTCATCCCTGAGCAATTGAGGACCTCTAGAGGCATGTCTTGAGTGAAATGAGAGGGAAAATTTTAGGGTACAAAACTTCTCTTTACTTATAATCAGAAGCACCACTGCATCGACACGCCTCACGGTGGCTGCTGCGGCGGCTACATGTCTAGAGACAATAAGTTCACACACAAGTACCTTCCACTACAAGAAAAAATGTAATTTTCCAGGGGATAATACCCTCACAAGTAGCAAAAACCCCATACAAATGCAAAATTTGCAAGGGGACTCCTCCCCTAGGAAAACAGGGGGTCGCCAATTATTTTGCCAGGGGCTTTCTACATCGCCTATTTCTCGGGAGCTAACCCCCTCGCAAAATGCAATCACAATTTTCAAGTCTGCAACATGCAGACGTAGGTGCAGGCTAGTAATACAGGCTAGTAGTGCAGACCAGTTGCTTGGGGTTAATCCCCAGACAAAATGTATAATTAATATAATAAATAAATAAAATTACTAAGTATATAAATAAACTATTTTTAATATATAATAAATTGTTTTAATACTAAACATAAAAATACTAAATATATATACTAATTTATACTAAATATAAATAAATTGTTTTTAATATAAACTGTTTTTTGTTAAATTGTAATTCATAGTGTCGGAAAGATTAGATTTGTTTAGATTTAAATAGATTTGATTTAAGTCTAGATATATTAGATTTGATTTAGTAACAAAATAGATATTTTGGGCTTTGGGCTTAGGGTGCAAGCTCGGTTATAAATAGAGGAAGTAACCCCTATTTTTTGTAATCAAGTCAATTAAGTTGTATTCACAAAATTTGCAGTTGCAAGTGAATAACAAAGTTTTCCACAGATTGTGGGCAGAGAGAAACTCTGCAGAAAATAATTGTCTTCTTTCTTTTTTTGTTTTTCTCATAATTCATTATCATTGAAGTAGAAATTCATCATAGATATTTGGTGAATTTCCAACATCTGGTATCAGAGCTTTGTTTCGATTCGAGGGAAGTATCAATCAATAACGATTGAAGAATTCATGATGGGGAATTATGGGAATGCAAATTATCCAATAACTGTACCAATTCTGAAAGTAGACAACTATGAGAATTGGTGCAAATAGATGAAAGTGTTGTTCAAGTGTCAAGGGCTTTAGGACCTTGTAAAAGATGGAGTCGAAGCGCTTGGAGAAAACGCTTCAGAAGAAGAAAAGAAGAAACACACAGAAATTGAGAAGCTGAGTTATAAAGCACTATTTATAATTCATCAATGTGTGAGTCCAAAAAACTTTGAAAAAGTATGTGATTCAGAATCTGCAAAAGAAGCTTGGGACGTTCTTGAGAAGTCCTTTGGTGGTGCAGAAAAGGTAAAAGAAGTGAGGTTACAAACTCACAAGAGAACCTATGAATTCTACAAGAGTGGTAGAGGTTTGATGATGCATCAAAGAAGATATGCAGGAGAAATTCTCAAGAGGTTTGAGATGGAAGAATGCAACTCAATTTCGACACCTGCAGAACCAAGACTGCAACTGTCGAAAGATGCATATGAAGATGATGTTGATCCAAACCAATATAAAATACTTATTGGATCATTAAGATACCTTTTTCATACAAGGCCTGACTTAGCATATAGTGTAGGTATGGTAAGTAGATTCATGCAGAAGCCAAAGGTATCACATCTAGCAGCAGTGAAGAGGATACTAAGGTATCTCAAAGGAACTTTCGATTATGGCATTTTGTTTCCTACAGCTGATAAAGGAAAATAATGCAAGTTATTAGGATACACTGATTCGAGTTGGTGTAGTGATGCTGAAGATCGAAAGTCAATAGTAGGATATGTGTTTATGCTAGGTGGTGCACCAGTTGCTTAAAATTCAAGGAACCAGTAGTGGCATTATCATCATGCGAAGCAGAATACATAGTTGCTTCTCTTTGTGCATGTCAAGCAACTTGGATGGTAAACTTGGTCGAAGAGATAACAGGGAAAGATCATGGAGCAATTACCATGAAGATCGGCAGCATGTCAGCTATCAATCTAGCAAAGAACCCAATAGCACATGGTCGAAGTAAGCACATCGAAATGAAGTTCCATTATCTTCGAGAGCGGGTAGCAGATGGGAAGATGAATTTAGAACACTTCAGAACTGAGAATCAGATTGCAGACATCATGACGAAGGGAGTGCAAGTCGAAGTATTCAGAAGGCTAAAGGTCATGATAAATATAGTTAGTTTAGACACAATGAATTAGGTGGTGTGTCAAATTATAATTCATAGTGTTGAAAAGATTAGATTTGTTTAGATTTAAATAGATTTGATTTAAGTCTAGAATATATTAGATTTGATTTAGTAACAACGTAGATATTTTGGGTTTTGTGCTTAGGGTGCAAGCTCAATTATAAATAGAGGGAGTAACCCATATTTTTTGTAATCAAGTCAATTAAGTTGTATTCACAGAATTTGTAATTGCAAGTGAATAACAAAGTTTTCCACAGATTGTGGCCAGAGAGAAACTCTGCAGAAAATAATTGTCTTCTTTCTTTTCTTGTTTTTATCATAATTCATTATCATTGAAGTAGAAATTTACCATAGATATTTGGTGAATTTCCAACATTTTTAAATATATATATATATATATATATATATATATATATATATATATATATATATATATATATATATATATATATATATATATATATATATATATATATATATATATATATATATATATATATATATATATATATATATATATATATATACACTAAATAGATACAATTTTTATATATATATATATGTACTAAATAGATACAGTTTTTTAAAATATATATACAAAAAAAACAAAAATCATTATTTATTGTTGTAAAATATATTATAAATTTATTCCAAATTATTGCTTCTTGCTCCTCTATATGAATCCATTGATACAAAAAACATTAAAAAAAATAGATTATAAGTATAAGATAGAAGATGAAACAACATTATATTAACCATACAAAATATTAATGCAACATCTAACATAACAATCATACAAAACACAACATCAACAATATTATAGAACAACAACCATAAAAATAGAAAATAAAAAAGAGTAAAAAAATCAAAGAAGAACTGAAATAGCTCTGAAACACATTTCTTTTTCATCAACGACTCAACTTTCGCGCACGACTAACAGATCTGGATCACTCTCCCACCATTTTTCCATGTTCTTCATTTTTTTTATTTTCATATAGTTAAGAAAGAGAAAGCGTGAGAAAGAGAAAGATAAAGTGAGAGAGAGAGGGGGAGGAGATAGGATAGAGAAAGTGATAAAGAGAAAGAGAAATAAAAAGAGAAAGAGTGAGATACGTGTTGTGTTTTTCAAAAAATAATTTGCCACGGGCTGCCCCAGGCAAATGGAAAAACAATAATGACAAAAAAATATTTGCCAGGGACTACCCCTGACAAATGAAAAATCAATAATGACAAAAATAATTTGCCACTGGCTGCCCCTGACAAATGGAAAAGCAATAATGACAAAATATTATTTTTCAGGGGCTACCCCTGAAAAATGAAAAAGCAATAATGACAAAAATAATTTGCCACGGGCTGCCCATGACAAATGCTTATCATTTTTTTTTGTGTTGCGAGGGTATTAACCCCAAACAACATGTTAATTTAGTGAGGGGCTTTGCCCATGGAAAATATCCCCTAGCTAAACAAGATTTTTCTTGTAGTGTTCGTTTCGTCCTCTTCTCTCCCAATCCCTGCTTAGTTTCTCTCAATTTTGCCTAGGGTTTTCTACATCTAGCTCATTGTGAAAACCCTAAAAAACAAATTAAATGGCCGTGATACATAGTCCAAGTGTGAGACCTTAGGGTAAATGACCATGGAGGTTTACTCTATGCAATGATATGAAGATCTGTAAAAGAAGACAGAGTAAAGAGAATTGGAGCTTACATATCGGAGTAGTTTCGGCGACTCTTCGACGGCGAGGATGCTAATCAGAAATCTAGAGAATAAATTATTCCAAGTAAGCTTTCATTTCACAAAATCTTCTTCCTTCCTCTTCAGTGATTTTTCTTCTTACTTTTCGTTTTTGTGTGTGTTTTATGATTGTACGATACGTACTAATGTGTGAGATGTTGTTGCAGTTGCGATGCAGTGATGTGCATTGACGCTGATTTGATGAAGAAGCGACGATGATGAAGAGTGAAGCAGAACGGTGAAGGTTGATGATGTTGAAGAATCGATGAAGATGGTGAAGGAAGTTGTAAAAGATACGGAGGATTGATGTTGATGGAGGTTGAAAGATATGAATGAAGGTTCATAGAGGGAGAAGAGTTTTTAGATTTTTTGAAGATGATGAGAGCGAGTGAATTCAGAGGAGAAAGAGTTTGAGATGAAGGTTGAAGAAAGATGGATGATGGAAAAATGAAGCGTGAGGAATGGTGATTCTCCAGAAAAATGTGAAGAATCAATATTATTGATGAAGGATGCAGTTTATATAATTGGTTAGAAGCTGCAAAAGTTGGTTAGAGGTAGGGGGATCTAAGCCCTTGATCTTGAATTTCAGTTACGGATTCAATGGTGAGATTGAGGTTTTTTAGAAGTTAGTTTTGTAGTTTGAAATTTTGTTATGGTTAGTGAGGTTAGTTACTGAGCTGGATTATGGTTTTTTCTGAATTGGACATTTGTTTAGAAGTTGCAAAAAAGTGTTAAGACTTGTTAGTATGTTAGGAGTTTTTGTTAATATTTGCTTTGTTTTGTCTCTTTGCATTTCTAGTTTTTTATGAAGTTTAATTGGACTGATTTAAATGTGCTTGTAGGGCCTGATTTGGTCCTGAATATGAACATTAATGGTTTTCTTCCCAAGAGACCTTTGGCTTTCATTTTCTGCTTGTGCTCTGAGCTAGATAGGGACTGTCTGACATGACTTTGTAGGTGGTAACTTGTTCTTTATGTAGGTTTTGAATGGAGTGCATGCCTGTATGTATAAGTTCATGGTTGGTGTAAGGTTTATGCAATGTGTTTATGGTTTGAATGTGTATATGTTTGGAATTTGGTTTGAACTTGTTAATGGTTTATCATGTATTGAGTAACTTGTATGAACATAGGCTACTTTGGCACGATTACTTGTATTTACTTAGCTTTGAATGTGCAGTTCTTGGATGTCTCATGTTGGATTAGGCATAAAGCTTGGGCATGGTTGATGTTTTGTTTTGGTGTAAGGATGAAAGGCGAGGTCCTCATGGAATTTGGATGGCCTGAGTAATGGTATAGAGCTTAAATGACAATGGTGACAACATGAAGCTTGAAACATGGGTTTGTATTGGTACTTTGAAGATTTGGCAAGCACAAGCCTTATTTTGATGTAATCTTTTCTCTTGTGTAATTTTCCAAGATGTGGTGGAATGATAATTTGTAATCATGAATGAAATAAACTAGAATAGCGCTTGAATATGTTTTATAAACCTTGTGAATCTTAAATGATATCTTCCATTTCCCTTTATTTGTAGCCTTTTATGACTTTCCCAAAACGTTTCATTTAATTTCACCTTGAATTGATCTTGTAATGCTTTTGATTTGTGAGAGAACATACTTTATGAATCCTTAAATTCAAAAGGTACGTCCTTCAAAAATATTCAAAATGATCTTTCATTTAATACCCTAGCCTCCCATGAGAAAAATCTTGACTTTTATGCCTTGAAAAATATGATATATGCCTTGTGACTCTCCAAGCAATCCAAGTGATTGTAACTTGTTTTCCAAACAATCCAAGTGTCTCTCCAATATTTAAATCAATTATTGACAAACCAAACGCTTAAGAACTTTGAACCAGTCTATCTTTAATTTGATAAAACCATAGCCCCGTCTTAAACCTACATCAAGCAATGAGTTCTTGAAAGAAAAATTGGCTTTAAGCACAATGAATCTCTTGCCTCAAATCTTATACCATGACTTGTCTTTTGTGAGCCACACCATAGCATTACCTTGAAGAAATCCTCCAAAGATGAATATGAAGCATACATGTTCAAGAGAGCCCTAGTTCAATAAACCTCAATTGATGGATATTAACAAACTCCTAGCATGATGAAATGTAAACCATAGTCCTCTTGCCACAGATAAATCTTGATGAAGAAAGTAGCCTGAGATACCCTTACTTAAAGCAAACTCACTTGAAGCCTTGATGAAACCCTAAGTACAACACGTGAAAAAATAGCACACGAGTGAAGCCGTAGTCTTCTTGACCTTTGATCCTAAATGCCAAGCCTTGTTGTTAGTGAATGCATGAGATGTTAGATGACCTAATGGAAGATATGTACATGAGGATTATGAAATGCATAAGCCAAATGATTTGAGTAAAGGGTAGGACAAATTTTGGGTATGACAGATGCCCCTATTTAATCATCTTAAACTTGAAAGTGAGATTGGCGCTAGCCTTTTGAACATTAAAGGTGGAAGAAGATTAAATATGAAGACCTGAAATTTGTCCGGAAAAGAAAGTGGGTGAGTTATTATTTTGTGATATCTGGCGGGGAAAGAAAATATTTTGTTTTTTGGTGAAAATGTTTATGAATAGTTATTTGAATGGTGATAGCTAACGTGGTAATGGTGCCAATGTGAGGTTCTCAAGGGATATGGTTGAAAGAATATGATCAATGACCATGGAAAGATCGATTACAATGTGATCTAACCAACCGAAAGGAGAGAAGTCAAGGTCGATTACAACACAAACACTACTCATGTAGGATCATAACCACATGAAAGACAATTTTTAAGATCGATGACAACGTGAACACTACTCATGTAGGATCTAATAACAAGTTAAGAGAGAAGGTAAGATCGATGACATCGTGAGCACTACTCATGTAGGATCTACAACCACAGAAAGATTGACTACAACGCGACCTAACCAAAGGAGGAGAAAGGGGAATGACAAATGAGAATTAACCACCAGACGAGAACTGGGAAAAGATCAACTGTCAGTCGAGAATTGACTACCAGGCAAGAACTGGACTTTGAATTAACTGTCAGACGAGAATTGACTACCAGGCGAGAACTGGGCTTTAAATTGATTGTCAGACAAGAACTAATTAACCAGGAGAGAATTGGAATTTTAATTAGCGGCCATATGATAACTGACTACCAAGCGAGAATTGGGCTTTGAATTGATTGTCAGACGGGAACTAAAATACCAGGAAAGAATTGGACTTTGAATTAACGGCCAAATGAGAACTGAATACCAGGCGAGAATTAGGGTTTGAATTGATTGTAAAATGTGAATTGAACTACCAGGCGAGAACTGGACTTAAAATTGATTATTAGATGAGAGCTGACTACCAGACGAGAACTAGGAAATGATTAAATGTCAGACGAGAACTGGATAACAGATGAGAACTGGACTTAGAATTGATTGTCAGACGAGAACTGATTACCAGGCGAGAACTGGACTTAGAATTGATTGATATTAACAAACTCCTAGCATGATGAAATGTAAACCATAGTCCTCTTGCCATAAATAAATCTTGATGAAGAAAGTAGCCTGAGATACCCTTACTTAAAGCAAACTCACTTGAAGCCTTTATGAAACCCTAAGTACAACACATGAAACACTAGTACACAAGTAAAGCCTTAGTCTTCTTGACCTTTGATCCTAAATGCCAAGCCTTTTTGTTAGTGAATTCCTGCTGTTGTACCCCAAAATTTTCCCTCTCATTTTCTTTCAAGATTTTCTTTTACATGGTTGATTTCAAACTTTGGCTTGAGGAAAGTAAAATTTGAAGATGAACGAAATATCCTTCGATTGGACCATCAGAGTGTCCTTCGATTGGAACATCAGAGCTTCCTTCGATTGGGACATCAAAGCTTCCTTCGATTGGAGCATCAGAGCTTCCTTCGATTGGAGCATCAGAGCTTCCTTCGATTGGAGCATCAGAGCTTCCTTCAATTGGGACATCAGAGCTTCCTTCGATTGGGACATCAGAGCTTCCTTCAATTGGAGCATCAAAGCTTCCTTCGATTGGAGCATCAGAGCTTCCTTTGATTGGGACATCAAAGCTCCCTTCGATTGGGACATCAGAGCTTCCTTCGATTGGAGCATCATAGCTTCCTTCGATTGGAGCATCAGAGTTTCCTTCTATTAGAGCATCATAGTTTCCTATGATTGGAGCATCAGAGCTCCCTCCGATTGGAACATCAGATCTTCCTTCGGTTGGAGCATCAGAGTTTCCTTCGATTGGAACATCAGAGTTTCCTTCGGTTGGAACATCAGAGCTTCCTTCGATTAGAAAATCAGAGCGTCCTTCGATTGGTATACCAGGGTAGAGTATCTTTCGAATGGCATATCAGTGCAGAGGTGTCTTAATCTGAAATATTCTGATGAGGAAAGTTCTGAACACTTTGAATCAGAATTCAGAACCATCATAGGAACAAAGGCTAATCGAAGGGGCTTTGAAGAGGGAAACTCTGAATATTTTCAAATTCAAACAAGGCACCAAATTGACTTGTTCAGGTTCACTCAGAATTCCAAAAGGGCATTAAATATCTTAAAATGATAACCTTTTAATTTGTATGATTCTGTTTTCAATGCCATGTTTAATGATTGGTCTTTAATGCCATAATTCTTTCTCCATTTCCTTGTCTCCTCCACCTCCTATAAATACAAGACACAAACACAAATCAAGGGGAGGGACACGCATGCATACTGAATCACACAGATCACGTTGCCACATTGCTCAAAAATCCCAAAAGTGTCCCAATCGAAACACCTTTTGCAGGCACCTTCATCCCAAACGAATACCAGATTCGTATTCCTGAGCAATCCAGGAGTCCACACCAACTCCTAAGCCAACATCTCCACACCCAAAGCTGTAGATCGAAGCATACCGGCCATAGGTATAATTCTAAATTTCAATTTCTTAATTTAAGCGCATTTATTCGTTCTAATGTGTGTGTGTGTGTGTGTGTGTGTGTGTTTGTAATGAAGCGTTAGACAGGTTACAATCCTCACAGACTTGCCATTATTAGGGCACATGAATTTGGTTCATTCGAATCTCAGGATTCTTAGTGTTTCAGGACAAGACGAACCCAGATTTGAATTAAGCAGAGTTTAGAATTAGGGAGAGGTTCGAGCTAGGGGGTAAGGTCCCCCCCTGGATCTCTAACATTGATTCATTTTGCAGGAATACTGTTTAGGGCTTTGAAGCAGCAAGCTTCAAACTAGGTGGCAGGAACCTTTTGCCAATAACCTTCAATTCAGACTCTGGTGATTCGATTCAGGGTAACACAGCCAAGCTATCGAATCCAGGACCAGATTCGATTCAAGTCCAGGATGTTGCTTTGTTTTCTTTTTCTAACGAATTACTTGCAGATCCAGTATCCCAGATCGAAGGACATTACGTCCAGGTCGAACACCCCCAAATATGCAGTCTCTCAGGCACCTTCGATCAAGACTCTTCATTGGATTGAAAGGCAACCCAAGCCTCTTTGATCCAGGCCTTCCTTCCAAGAGTGCACTCTTTTCATTTACTTTTTTGTCTTTCGATTTTGTCCTTTCTTTTGATTGTTTTTCTTTATTTATTCTAAGCTTCAATTAACATTAAAAAAAACACAAGAACATTAGGCTTAACTTTTTTATAATAATTTTGTCAATTAATTAATTAATTATATTAATATTTTCTAGAAAAAAAACTAAAATTGAATAGACTTAGGATTTTTTAAGTTAATTTCTTTTCATAACAAAAACAACAAAAATAATTTTATTTTTATTTAATAGTTCTTAGGGTTTTTTTGACGTAATATTTATTTCATGCGCGTTATTTTTATTCTCGCATTTTATGTAAATAATGTAACTGATTATGGGATGTAATAGTCTAGATTTAAAATTCTGCATTTTATTTTCTTGCACTTTTTATGTAATTATCCCAAAGCGTTGTAATAGTCTAGGATTTAAATTTCCGCACTTTAAATTTTTGTAACTATTAACTGCTAGTAATTAGGTTTGCATGGAAAGATTGATATTAAAACGTTAGCAAACCTTAATGCAAAAGATAAATAACTGAATCAATACACTTGCACATGCTCACCCCTAGAGTATCTCCCACTTCGGTTGCCTCCGAAAACGGTCACAATTCTCGAAACGTGAGAATCTTTAGTGGTTGCCCTTTAGTTCAAGAGATCACAAGTCCCTCGATTACCCTTTCGATGCCGCCTCGGTTAAAAAGTAATCTTATAACTTTAGGACAATTACTAAAAGTTCTTGCCCAGTTGCCTTAGTGACTGTAAATGTCCCTTTGATAGTCCCTCAACATCCAACGATAGGGCTACCTACTCACTAATAGTAGGATAGCACTATCTAAAGGAAAGGAGGAAAAGAACGCCTTTTTCGAGTAGGCAGATAATTGTTAGATACTTGCTCAAAAATAATCTT